CGTATTTTGTACGCACTTTGAAGTCATTTTTGAGCAAGCAGGCATAATGCTCAGCTTCTTCTGTTATTGGCGACGTGAGCGATCGAAAGCGTCGCTGTGATCGGTCTTCCACGATAGGCCGAGTACTGACTATGACGTCAGCAAATGATTTGCCATCGACGGAAATAAGAAGAATGAAAGAACTTCAATTTTGACGGTGTTGGTAGTGTTGGTTTGAGAGTGCTATGATTTCAAGCTTCCACCGTGCTCTTTACAAACACCTTCAAACTTGTTGTTCACAAGGTAATGACGTCACGAAAGGTAACCATAGGAGGGCGCCACCAAAGCATCTCGCCGCCAATAGACCTTTCCAATGTTTACAAATCCACAGCTCAGCGTGCGATCTCCACAGCTCAGCGCGCGCGTGTGCGTCGCTTCGGAAAGCGAGCAAATCACGCGCGATACGCACGAACACTGAAAATGAAACCGGCCAGCAGCCCTTTTCTGGAAAGGTCTATATGTTGCGTGATAACCTTTCTTTGCAGATTGAAATGCGCGTCAGCTTTATGTCACCTTCTACCTCAAACATAGGGTGTTCGAGATGTTTATTCAACGCAATTTTTTATTCGTGAAGACATGTAATTGCTTAATCATTCGCTGGATATTTGTTTAAGGTTTTATTTTTTTGCTAAAACTATTAGTGCTTTTTTTTTTTTTTAATTTTGTCCGGTTCAGTCTGAATTATAGGCCGCGTTTTGCGGCTCAGCAAAGCGGGTTGCCTTGAGATTTTCAAGATCACATACAGCTGACAATACACCCGTGTCCTAGGTTGGGGAAGCGGGTGGAAATTTCGGGGTTGAACCCTGCCTCTCCCCCCCCCCCTCTTTGGAAAGGATTCCCGGCTGCGTCGCTAAAAGGGCATAAGAGAAGACGCACTATGCTTTTTGCCGTATAAACATATACAAAAATCGAAGGAAGCGTGCATTTTGTATTTTGTGTGGAATTTACTAAGCATAACTATCAGTTGTGGGAAGACGCGTGTTGAAACCTGCTTCGCTGGGTCCTGGTGTGGTGGGAACCCAGCGACTGACCCGAAAGGGGCACGGTACCCTAATATATAGGCTCCGGCCCCCTGGCGGCGACCCCGCTCGTCCCCACGGTAAGAGTGCGGTGGAGGCGAGAGGGGCCGTCGGCCGGGTTCTGGTCAGTGGGCACCCACCCAACCCATCCCGCTTTATTGAGCATCAGTACAGTTGCCGCCAGGGCCTCCGGGGGCGTGAGGGTGTGTCCATGTCCCCTTGTGAGGGCTTGGTAGACGGCCTGGTTGTCTGTCACAACTCTGGTGCGTGGTGGCGCGACGAAGAGGGCCAGTAGGACCGCCCAGAGTTCTCGGAGGTAGATTGGGATAGGCCGGGACGCAATGATGGCGATGTTGCCTTCGGGAAAGCAGATGCCCATGCCAGATGAACTGGCATCCGCGAAGACGTCACGTTCCACCGGGACGATGTCAAAGGGCACGGCAACAGGCAAACACTGAACCACATACTCAAAAAAACTGAAGCCAAGGACGGGAAGGGGGGGCGCCAGTGGCGGCCGCAACATGAAGGGGCCGTAGGGCATGAAAATAGGAAGAGTAAAGTGAAAAATAAAATCCCCAAAAGCCAGCTGCTCGCTGGTAAACTTTACGGGTCTGTGGATAATGAAGTGCGCGAAGCACAAGAAGAAGGTCCTGGCGCCTCGAGGGCGTATGGCCGATGGTACCAGTAGTTTCATCAAGAAAAAAGCCTAGGAACTTAACCTGTGTGGAGGGAGCGAACATGGAATCACTAGGATTCAAACGAATGCCCGCTTCAACGAGGTGGTTAAGAAAAAGGTCAAGTTGGTCCTTCAAAACGTCGGGGTCAGGTTGTGCAAATAAAAAATTGTCTAAGTGAGACCAAGCCCACAAACCACGGGAGCGTGCCTCACGATTAAGGGCCGTAGCCAAAGATTGCATAAAAAAGGGAGCGGGCCTTATGCCGAAAGGCAAAACTTTGTAGCGATAATATCGGCCGTCCAAACGGAAAGTGGTGAGGGCTCGTGTGGCTGGTGCCAGACCGAAATGGTAAAAAGCGTCCCTTAAATCAAACTTGACAAAATAGGGCTTCGCCGGCAGGGGACAAGCCTTAAGGGCTGTCGGAAGCGGGGGAAGGCGAAACTTCGGACTCGGTAATGAGGCCGTGAGATGGGAACAGTCGAGGACAAACCGCGATGCGGTGGACGTTTCTGGCACAAGTTGAATGGGAGACAAAAAGGGGCCGCGAATTGTCTCCTCAATTATTCCGGCAGAAAGCATGGACGTTACCGCTAGCCGGAGCACAGGGGGTTGGTCCGGGTAGGGGCAGTGGGCATTAAACACAGAGGGCTTCCTAGCAAAAAACTGGAGCGCGGCTGGGTCAAACGGGGGATGATTCACAAAAGTTTCTGCAACGGTGTCCCACCTGACTTTGGGAACGGGATCACTTGGTCGCACCGGCGGGTAGGGCGGCAGGAGCGGGAAGGCCGCAGGCGGCCGACTGTCGTCGTCGTTTTCTTCTTGATCCTGGTCGGGTCGTGGATGCGGCTGGTGGCGTTGAAGCCACTGGAGGATTCGAAGGGCCGCGTCTGCCAGGCTATCGTTCTCTGGGAGGTCCGCGGCCACCTCAGAATCGGTCGTTAGGTCCGAAGCGGAGGAGGCCGTGGTTGAGGGCGATGCCGGCCGGGGGAAGGCCCCGGTCGAGGCAGCAGGATCGGTGTTGGGCACAGCTGGAAAGGAAGGCCATCCGGCTGGGTCCAAAGGGTCGGCGGAGCTGGGAACGCCAGCTTCACGCAGCGCTTGCGCCAGGAGGTCCTCCGGTAGGAGGATATCCTGAAGGAGTCCCAACGTTGGGACACCATCGACGACCACGGCAACAGTCTGGGCATTTCCAAGAACAAGGTGGAGCGGACGGGGAAGGCCCGTCGGGAGCGCGTCGACCGCGTCGAGGAGATCCAAGCACTCTTGGGGAGGCTGGAAGTCGCGTGGTAGCATGGAAACCTCATTTTTTTCTTGGGTGGGTTCTTGCGAGGGGACTTGGGGGGCTGCGGCTGGGACCGGGTGTTGAGACGGGTGCCTCGTGGTGGCCTAACGGAGCGGTCAGGGGAGCCGCTGCGGTGGGTTGCCACTCTTCGGGGCGCGGGAGGTCCCAACAAAAAGGTGGCGGAGGGGCCGGCATAGCCGTCGAGTGCGGCTCCCCACCCTGACAGGGCAACGTGGTAGAGGAGCCGCACCCGGTCAAAAACGCGGAGCTTGCTGCGGGGGGGAAGGCCGATGCAGCAGCAGTCCCAAATGTCCACGAAGAGCTCCAAGAGTTGGAGTTCCTGGATCTCTCGCCTTCCAATATGCTGGGAGTGTCTTGCAACTTGTTGGACGAAAATAAGAGCCTCCGCGATGTCCCTGCGGGTCGGGGGGTCTGGGGACCCCCCGACCCGCAGGGAATGGGGACCGCGAGGGTCGGGGTGGGCAGCGATGGAGGACTGAGTCTGTACAAACGCCCCGGCGTCGTAGGGAGGTATTGGAGGGGCGAAGTGAGGGGGGAAGTTGGTGGGGAACCCGGTGGCGGCGTGCTGGGTTCCGGCACTTGGCTGGAACTCCCCTTCATGTAGTGGCGGCCAGGCGTCGGTGGTAATGGCCCGGGTGAAGGGGGCTGGGTGTCCACGGAGAACGTGGGGGGGAAGACAGATCCAGATGGGGCGGCGGAGACCGCTGGTTGGGTGGCGGGGAGGGCCTGGGATGTTCCAGCGGAGATGGTGGATGCCCTACTAAGGGCGTCGGCCACTGCAGCTGCCATTTCGACGTTGTTCTCGCGTAACAACGAACGTAAGTCACGTAGTGATGATGCGCGGTCTTCCACGAGCACTTGTTCGAGGCGTTGAGAATGTTCATCAAACATTTGAGAGAAAGTATGCGGGTCCGGGAGATCGTCATCACTTCCTCGGTCGTCGCCTGGTTGGGGCTGGGCAGGCTGCTTGGGCGGCATGAGAAAAGCAGGATGGCGAGTGTAAACCACACGCCAAGGGGTCCGGACGAGTCTGCCACTCTGAGTTTTCGGTCTATCCGGGCACAAAGAAACCTGCTTCGCTGGGTCCTGGTGTGGTGGGAGCGGCAGCATTGAGCAGTCACGACCAAACTGGTCCCCTGTATCTTTCAGATAACAGGAGCGCTGCCGGGACAACACTGCCATGATTTGAACTTCAAATCTGCTGACTTCGGAGCTACGAGCCTGCCTACACCAGACAAGGCTCGGTCGACCGTGACGTCGCCACTGCTGACAGCAAGCGCTTCCGTCGACCAAGCTGAAGCTACAAAAGGCACCTCAGCGGAGCCTTTCCTTCACATTGGCGGCAGCGGCAGCATTGAGCAGGCACGACCAAACTAGTCCCCGGTATCTTTCAGATAACAGAAGCGCTGCCGGGACAACACTGCCGTGATTTGAACTTCAAATCTGCTGACTTCGGAGCTACGAGCCTGCCTACACCAGACAAGGCTCGGTCGACCGTGACGTCGCCACTGCTGACAGCAAGCGCTTCCGTCGACCAAGCTGAAGCTACAAAAGGCACCTCAGCGGAGCCTTTCCTTCACATTGGCGGCAGCGGCAGCATTGAGCGGGCACGACCAAACTAGTCCCCTGTATCTTTCAGGTTGGTGTTCTTTTATTCCCTGGTACCACGTTTCATGCCGCCGCTGCTGCTGCTGCTGCCAAGGTGTAGCCATGAGTTCGAATGGTCAGTGTAAAACTTGTGAAAAACAATTCGTATCGTCCGATGCGAAAATTGCGTGCAGCGACTGTGATGGTTGCTACCACACGGGAAAATGTTCTGGAATTTCTGACAAAACAATCAAAACGAAGGGCGAAGCGTATCGTTTAACTTGGCGCTGCCCAGCCTGTCGTCGTTTAAAATCCTGTGCACAAGCTCGGGATCCTACACTGACTGACGATTTGGAAAGGCACGATGTGCGACAAATGCTAAAGGTGATCAATGAGAAACTTGACCAACTCTTACCGCTCAGAGAAGTAGTTGAGGGCATTGAAGATTCAATGCAATTTTGGAGCGAGCAGTACGACAAACTGCGGGAACGAACAGAACAAAATGAAAAGGACATCAAAGACCTAAAGCGCAGAACGGAAAAACTTGAGGCGCAGGACGTTATAGTAAATCAGTTGCAATGCGAAATCGATAACCTTGAATGGAGAAGCCGGCGCTTTAACCTCGAGTTTCACGGAATACAGGTAACCGAAAAGGAAAATTTGCTGAGCAAACTAAACGTACTTGCCACACAGCTCGAACTGCCACAGCTTTCTGATATGGACGTGGTGTCCATTCACCGTCTGCCTTCAAGGAAAGATAAAACGCCGGGCGTAATCTGCCGCTTTGCAAGACAGGCTGATAGAGATAGATGGTGGGAAAGCAGAAAGAAGTTACGTGATTCGAATGACACTCTGTTTCTACTTGAAAACTTGACAAGACGATCCCGTTCTCTACTTTTCGAAACGAAAGCCTGGGCCAAAAGGAACAATTATAAATACGCGTGGCACAGCAATGGCCGAGTGATTGTGCGCAAGTCTGACGGAAGCCGCGCGGTGGTAATCTCTAATATTGCCGACCTAGATAAGCTTCGATAAGAAATGAGCAATCGACTATCTATGGCAAGTACAGCCAGCGAATCATACTTACTTCCGAATTCTTTTGAAAGGCATCTAGGAAAACCGTTCTTGCGGTCGTTTAAATGTTTTCACTTGAATATACGCTCAATTAAAAATAAAGAATCCGATCTTTGTCTATTATTTGATAATTTTGCGCTGCAATTTGATGCAATATCGCTAACCGAGACATGGTCAACTGACGAAAAAAATGTATATTGTCTCCCCTCGTATGATACCTTTTATTTAAATCGCGGCGGTGGAGTATGCATTTTAGTCAAAAAAGAATATAACTGTGAAATATTGTCAGACTTTACTGTAAATACGAGTGATTGTGAACTTTTGTCAATTCAAATACAAAACACGGTAATTGCCGTTTGTTACCGCCCTCCCAGTGGTACCGTAGCTACATTCTTTAATTACTTAGAATCAATTTTTGACTTTATTACACAAAATCGTTTCAATTTCATCTGCGGCGGGGATATGAATATTAATATGCTAAAAAGTGATTCAACGAGGTCTAAACTAGATCTTTTACTAATGACTCATAATCTGCGGAATTTCATGATGCTACCCACAGAAGTGACTGAGCACTCTTCGTCTCTAATTGATCTGTTTTTAACAAATATAAGCTCGAACCAAGTAAAAGCAGGGGTGTTTGCCTGTGACCTAAGTTATCATCTACCAATATTTATCTGTACGAAGGGGCATGTAAAAAATAAAATATTGCAGTCGGCATACCCAGTACAAAAAATAACAGAAGCAAACCTGACCATCTTTTGTGATAAAATCGCACAAACAGCTTGGGAAATTGTACTGAACAGGAATGACGCAAATGACGCCTATGATGAATTTCTCAGCATTTTAAAACCGATATATGCAGAAAGTTTTCCTTATGTCGTATTAGGAAAAGCAGAAAGATTCGTAAGCCTTGGGTTAACTCCGAGCTTCTCGCAAGTATTAATGAAAAAAACAAGCTCTATAGTTAAATTATTAAAACTAAAGACCAAGAAATATTACGCAAGTTTAAAACTTGTCGCAATCGTCTAGATAAAGAACTGAAAAAGGCAAGACGCGATTACTTCGCAAATCAATTTATTTCTGCGGCAGGGTGCTCTGAACTAATGTGGAAAAGATTAAATGCCGTCTTAAAGCATAATATTTCCCCCGACAAAGTCAACAAGATAATCACAGATGATGGTGAGTTATTTGGAAAAGCACTTGCAGATGCTTTTAACAAATATTTCGTGAATATTGTCAATAAAACCGTAACGAACTGTAACCTCGTGAACATTCCGTCCAACCCGAATTCTATTTTTCTTAACCCTGTAAATGAAAAAGAAGTTATCACTACAATTATAAATTTAAGCAACAGCAAGGTTAAAGACGCTGATGGATTTCAGATAAAACCAATTAAGCACGCTGTTCGACTTCTTGCCCCTTACATAACGCATATATTTAACCTTTGCCTTAGTCAAGCTGTTTTTCCTCGAAGAATGCAAGTTGCCCATATAAATGTGTTGTATAAGAAAGGCGATAAAAATGACATGGGAAACTACCGCCCCGTGTCGATACTTCAAATTTTTTCAAAAGCGTTAGAAAGAATAATTTTAAACCGTTTTATTGACTTTGAGCAGAAGCATAACCTTCTAAATGAATCTCAATTTGGTTTCCGTAAAGGACTCGGTACAGAGTCCGCACTGCTCGCGCAGAAAGAATTAATCTTGACCGCACTTGAGGAAGGAAAATTGGTTCTTGGTATCTTTGTAGATTTAACTAAAGCATTTGATCATGTAAATCATACATTGCTTGTTCAAAAACTTCAACGTTATGGTTTTAGAGGGAAGGCTGCATCCTTAATCACCTCTTATCTACTTCATCGTTTACAAACAGTCCGTATAGACGATCATTTCTCCGATCCACTTCCTGTTTCTTGCGGTGTACCACAGGGGAGTATTCTGGGTCCTTTTCTTTTTAATATGTATGTAAATGACATCGTCTCTGTTGGATCAGATGTTAATATGATTATTTACGCTGATGATACCAGCATATTTATAACCGGAAATGTATATATTGAGATCGTCTATAAAGCGAATTCGACGTTACAAAAACTAGACGAATGGACGGGCCAAAATAGCTTAAAGATAAATATAAACAAAACTAAAGCCGCCTTATTTCGTAGTAAAAATGAAAGTGTCATGTTCAATCAACCAATAATGCTAAATTCGACACCCATTGAAGTTGTTTCTAGTTTTAAAGTACTAGGGGTTGTTTTTCAAGAAACTTTGTCGTGGGATACACATATTGATTCCGTAGTCGCCAAGCTGTCCCAAATAGTCGGACTTGTTTACCGTAATCGGCACATTCTGCCACGAAATATTATGATTTTAATTTATAATAGTTTGTTTTCATCTAGGCTTAACTACTGCCACTTAGTCTGGGCATCCACAACTCCAGCAAATGTACATAAAATACATGTCTTACAAAAACGGTTCCTAAGAGTTGTTGAAAATATTCCGTCTTACTTTCACACGAATGAGTTGTTCGTAAAATATAATGTATTGCCAATTCATAAAATGTACGATTATCGGCTTTCTAAAACTTTCAAACAAGAGGTAAAAACTAAATCATCGTTTTTAAAAGGACTAGCTAACTTACAAAGCAATACTACCGCCTACACAAAGCGTCATGGTGAGCCTTGGAATGTTAGCACTTACAGAACAATCTACGGGCAAGATACGTTGAAAAACAGACTGCCAAGGTTACTAAATAGATTAGCTGACGGAAATGTTGGGCTTTTAGATATTACATTTAAAGCATTGCGTCGTTATTTCAGCCCCCAGTCGACTTTCCTTATGTAAAAAATGCTGTGTAATATTATTAAACGTGAAACTAGTTGTGCATGTAAGTAATCTTTTTATTTTTTATTTTTTTTCTTGATAGTGCCTTTCAAGATATCCTACAATTGCGTGGTTGTTACGTAATTTGAGTGTGTCCCTTGTTGCTTCTCTTTATTCTGTTTATCTTGCTTTTTCTGTTAATGCTGTAATCTGTATGGTATGTTGATAATTTTCTTTTTATAGTGCTGCAAATGCCGATGTGGGGGCCTGTGACTTTCTCAAGCTGTTCTTGTGACCGCTTTTTCCACAAGCCTCTAGTATCATGTACTCTGTATTTGATGCAAATAAAATATCAACAACAGCAACAACAACCCACACCAGGACAGGTGGTAGAAGCTCCTCCCATCTCTTTCCATATTTGTAGATCGAAAGATCAGGAGGAGTCGACCTCCTCCCCAGCGTTTATTTTTAACCTGTCACCGAACACGTTTTTTTTCTGCGTGGACGTTCAAACTTGCTACAGCTCGCAATGCATACAGCGTTCTAATTCAGTTGCTAACTTGCTCTGCGTGTGAAAACAGAAGAATGGTTCCCCCCGGAGGCATAGCTAGAGATTGTTCTCAGCGTGCGCGATCAGCACATTAAAAGAACTAAGCCAATTATATATAACATTGGTAAGCCACTGGCTAAGACAGGCCAATGTTGTCCAGCCTAAATCAATCGATTATCAATGTCGGTAATTGATTGGCTTAAGCTGGCCAACATTGGCCTGTCTTAGCCAATCGATTACCAATAATGGCAACTCATCGGCCAACATATACCAATGTTGGCCAGCCTAAACCAATTGATTACCAATGTTCGTAACCAATTGGCTAAGACAGGCCAATGTTGGCCAACCTAAGCCGACCAATAGCCAACGTTGCTGAGCCGTTGGCTGAGGTTGGCCAATGTTGGCCAGTCTAAACCAATCGATTGCCAACGTTGGTAAGCCATTGGCTGAGGTAGGCCAATGTTGGTCAGTCTAGACCAATCGATTGCCAACGTTGGTAAGCCATTGGCTGAGGTAGGCCAATGTTGGCCAGTCTAAGCCAATCGATTACCAACGTTGGTGAGCCGTTGGTCAAGTCAGGCCAACGTTGGCCTTATATTCCGGCGTAGCACCAATATTGTTTCTACGATGGCCATATTGGCCCAATATTGGACCATTGTTTGCCAGTTAAATACCAATGTTGGCCCGACGTCGTGCGCTGTCTGGGACCCGCTATGTTGCGCAACAACCCTCAACAATTTTGGAACGTCGTAAACCCTTCTGAGAGGCTTGACGTAGTGCTGAACAACGAGGATGATGAGACGATAGCGGCGAATGAGTGTGCAGCTGTGCTAAACGAATTATTCACAAAATCATTTTCGAATGTAACCACTAATTCCTATCCGGATGTTTATGAATACAATATTTGTGCTATGAATTCCATTGATATAGAATGTGCCGGTATAGTGAAAGTCATCGCCAACCTTAAACTATCGTCATCGTGTGGAATTGATAATATTAACTCGAAGTTTCTCAAAAACACTACTATGTATTCCTCTATTATCTTAACAAAGCTATTTCGGCAATCACTCGAACTCGGAAGCCTTCGCGAGGACTGGAGGGTGGGGAAGGTGATTCCTATCCATAAAGGTGGTGAAAAATCCAGCCCAAGCAATTATCGCGCAATTTCCTTAACAAGAGTCCCTTGCAAAATTTTAGAGCACATAATCTATTCGCATCTCGTTAATTTTCTTAATTCCCATACATTCTTTTCTCCTGCTCAACATGGCTTTAGAAAACTGTTCTCATGCGAACTCAGCTATTAACACTTACGTATAATCTTCACGCTTGCCTCGATCGTTCATCTCAGGTTGACTGCATTTTTTTTAGATCTCTCTAAGGCATTTGACAAGGTTTCACATAGGCTCGTTTTGTATAAACTCAGTAAACTGAACATTTACTCTCATGTGTTGACTTGGATCAACGCCTTTTTAACTAACCGTTCTCGATTTGTTCATGTTAATGGCATTAACTTGCAGCCCTCTCCTGTGACTTCTGCTGTCCCCCAGGGTTCAGTACTCGGCCCTCTTTTGTTTTTAATATATATCAATGACCTTCGCATATCTCATCCTCAGTTGGTCTCTTCGCAGACGATTGTGTCATCTATTCTGAAGTAATTAACGATTTTGACGTTCTTGCGCTCCAGTCTGACCTTGACAGTATTTCTTGTTGGTGT